GAACGATGATCAAAATAAATCATGACGTCATCCGGCCAAATCCGCAGGATTCTAAAAAGTACCCATAAAACCCCCTAAAAATAACCGACTTTGGCTCCGGAGCTCGGATGATGTAGAACGCCCCCTCCCCCTACGGGACCCGGGGCAGCCCGACAGGGCCCGTGATGTAACTGTCTTCCATACATACATTTATTCGAAAAAGTTGTAAGGTTCGAAATTTCATACATATTTTCTGGATTATGGAAAATGTTCACGAAACTTTCCAATTTTACTACATGACGTCACAGTGAAAACCTCAGTAGACAACCCATGTATGACTATCACGTGACATCCAATTGGCCAATGAAAAGAGAAAATTRACTTGATGAGTCATACCCGGAAATATGAAAAAACGCTGATAAAGCAGACTGAAGCCTTGGACTCGATACAAGGAAACTCTCATCATCGTTTCATTATCGATTTAGTGTTAACGCTTTTTGTAGCTGTGTGTTATATTCAAGTGAGAGAAGATAAAGTAAGTATGATAGAAGTGAATGTCTATATATATCCGTCTTACTACAATATTACACAATTACACTCCAACTGAACAGCCGTCTCTAAATATTCCCTATAGGTGCGCAACAGAAAAAAATCGATATTTCTCAAACTTTGTCATAATGTAATGTTTATCAAGTTATTCACGTAAAAAACTGTCTTGGTGCAAACAAAATTAGGTCGAACGGCGACGACTTAGGTTTTCGGGCTCTCTGCAGAGTCGTCTAAAAGGACTTTAAAAAAACCTTGGTTCCGAAGTTTCTTTTCGAAATTCAACAATCAAATACCTTTTCCTCCAATCCAATTTGGTTCTGATGTTATCTCTCCGTCTCCCCTTACAAGAAACATTGTTGTAATGTTTGACTCGCAACTCTTTCCATGGCTCTTCAAATTAAACAACTATCAAAAGTCTGCTTTCTACCCAAGAATATTTCTCAAGAATATTTGCAGAATATATACGAAGATTTCTTTCTCTGCACTACCACTGAGTAACTGATTCATGCTTTCGTAGCATCGAAAATTGACAATTGTAACTCTCTTTTGTTTGGTCTTCCTAAATAWWCTATTGACAAGGTCCAAACTATTYAGAATGCTGCTGCTCAAATGCTAACTCTCTCCTGAAAACCCGACCATATCACTCCAATTTAGAAAAATCTTCACTGGCTACCTGTATCACAGAACGTATATAATACAAGATCCTATTACTCACTTTTAAAGCTCTTCACAATCAGTCTCCAAACTGAATAAAGAGTATGATTACTTCCTACAAACCTTCAAGACTTCTCCGTTCTTCAAACTCTCTTCTCTTAAAAATACCAATTTACAATCTGAAAACCTTCTCTTTTGCAGCACCTGAACTCTGGAACTCTCTACCTCTATCTTTAAGATCCTGTCAAACTGTCCTTGAATTTAAGTCGCAGCTTAAAACTCATCTGTTTAAAAACTATTTTGATTTTTAGCTATCTTTAATTATTTTGTGATTATTATTGTTATGTTATAGCGAATAGAGCATTCATTTGGAAATGCGGTATATAAATGCACTATTATTATCATTATCAAAGTAAATACTTCATGTATCAAAAAGATTTTCCACAGCCTTAAATAATAGATAATTTCCAACATTTTGGAAAAACTTTTTTTGCTTGCCTTAAAAATATAATATTTTAGGGATAATTGATTTTCTTGATTTTCATAAACGAAAGCATAAAACAAAGGCAAATATAATACACCAAATACTTGACGCATGGCGATGCGTGGCGATGGCTTTCAATGTGATAAGTCTGCAGTTTTCTTTGTGAAGCTGTCACTGCCTGATACATTTATGCTGGACTTGCATTTCGTCTTGCCGGTTATAAAAAAATCAACTTGTGTCTATTTTTGTGTGCTAGAATGTAATGAAGGTTGCTGTGTTACTAGACAGCATTCGAACTAATACATTAACATATACTAGTGAGAGTAGGTAATGTGTTCGTATTGCATGCATGAACTGCATGAAGAAGGGGTTTTTTGATTTCCAATATCCATAATTAACATAAGGTCATTGGCAAAAATTTTTCTTGTTTCTTATGATAAATCAAAGAGCACAAACTCATTGAAACGCATTGTTGTCCAGAATTTTGTCCAAATACCAACTCATGCATTAGCTTTGCTATATGTGGATGATATTGTTTTGTTTTTATTGGTTATTTTCTATGTCTGTACTCAGTAATTCGATGAAATGAAAATCAATCAATCAATCAATGTATTATTATTAATAAATACCATTTAAAGATATAATATATATATTTATTATATGACCGTGAATCTCAGAGCCTGGACACTAGCAAATCGAGCAATCTGATTGGATAGATCGCATCGCGGACTGGTCTAGATTCTCCGGTATTAACCGGTCCGATCGCATATTAATCTTACGGCGAAAACATTTTGTCCTTTTCAATGAAAAGTGGTCATATAATAAAACTCTTATCAACCGAGCTTGGTCGGTCTGTACGGGATAATCCGAGTGACCTCGGTCAAGATTATCCCGCACAGACCTCCCGCTCGGTTAATAAAATCTAAATATATATATGATAGATACCGACTAGCTCCATATTTCAACTTCATCACCACTTGATAAAACCCTGCTATTCAATAAAAACTTCTTTTTATTTTGTTAGATTTTATTCAAACTTATTCGCTTTTTTTATTTCCTAAGACACGGAGATGTCTAAGGTTTTTTTTAAGAAGCGCTTTCCTATTCTAAATAACTGAAGTTCTCGCGAAGACTTTGAATCCCTGAAAGTTATTATGAGATGTGATTGTTTATGAAAATCAAAAGCTGCCGGGTATCTAGTATTTTGAAAATCGATAATTAATCAGTTTGTGAGAAAACTAGGTCCAGTTCTGGACTATACTAAGAACTATCGCCGAGCTGAGCTGACTATATCCGAGAACTGAGCAAGAAGCTTTCAATGTGCTGTTATTTCTTTACATCCTTTGAGGTCATCCGAAGCATCTAATAGTTGATATTTTTGCTTTCGAATTATTAAGGTGGCTGGACCCCCTCACGCTTGACCGCTACCTTCCACTTTTGGAACGCTGGTGCATAAACGTGTTTTATCCGATTGCAAATCTTTTTT